CTTCCACCACATCAGCACCTTGGCGAGCCTCAAATGATCCTGAAAAGGGGGAAAGGGAGAGGGAAGGAGCGCCAGGAGCAGCCGCCGTCTATCTGACCGACTGCCGCCTCGCAGCTCGCGCCTTCAAGCGGCTCCGGCAACTTTGTCCGGCTGCGTTTGGCCCGGGCTCGACCGCTTTCCTCCACAGAGCCGAGCCGGTCCCTTTCTCATCTTCCTCACCTTCCTCACCCTCCTCCTCACCAGCCACCTCTCTTTTCCCTCTCCCGTTAAATATATATCATATATCTCTATATATCCACAGATACAAAATATATGTTTTGAGGCGGCTCCTAGATGTTAACCTTCTCTTAACCTGCCGGCAGCTTCACCAAATGTGGAGTTTCCCAGCGCAAACGCAGTCCCCGGGCCGGCCGAGCGCACCCAGATGATGCTGCGACCCCCAAACTGCCCCAGCTGGTCCCGTCCCACTTCCCGCGACACCTCTCCACGGAAGCGCCGCTTTCAAACTAAAATAATAATAATAACAACAATAATGGTAATAATAGTAATAATAGTAATCTCGCCCCTCTAGTAGGAGGGAGAGAGGAAAGAGGATCCACTCTGGCTCTCCCCGCTCTTTGGAACAAAACGCCAAACAAAAACATTTGTCTTTGATGGTGCTGATGATTGCCTTTTCTTTTTTTCCTCATAAAACACAGTAGTCGATTTTTTTTTCCTCCTAAATGTCCTATTAAAATACCGAAAAGCTTGCAGGGATCTATGTCACCTGGTGTCACCTGGATCTATARAGCGATTTTTCTTTTTTAGCTAGGCAAATCTTTTCCTTGATATCGTGATTACTCGGGGAGTAGTAGCATGCAAAAGCCCTATAAAATAAATAAAATAAAATACATAAAATAATAAAACAAACACCTTGAATGCTACACCCGGCAGCACCCACAAGAAGCGTATGCACAAATGCCTCTGCTCGTAGTCGTCAGGACTCTCCATGAATAAAAAATCTGGCAGGAAAAGAAAACAAAAAAAGAAAAAACGAGAAAGAGAAAAAATGCAGAAAGGGAGAAATTGAGCTCTCCATCTGGCCCTAGTCCCCCCGCCCCGGCTGACAGCAGCGCTGCAGGGCCCGGACAGACCTTACAAACTCACGGGAGCGTCGGGATTTTTAAGCTTTATTTTTTATCTTAATTCCGATGCCCTCGCCCCCCCTCCCCTTTATTTTAGTTGTAGGTAGACAGGACCACTCTTAAGGGCGCAAAAAATCGCTGTAAACAGTGACGCACGAAAACACCTCCCCTCCCTTCCCTCCCCCCCCACGACGTGAACGTCCCCAGAAAATGAAACAGAACACCCCCAAAAAATGGAGGGGAGAGGGAAAGAAACCGGAGAGGAAACAAAAATCCATAATAATAATAATAATAATAATAGCAATAATAATAATAATAATAATAATAATAGCGTTTCCCTCTCCATCCCTTCCCGGGTAGTTTCGATTTTTGCGGGTTTGGCTGTGTGCGGGAGCACCAGTTTGTCCGTGTGTCCGTCTGCAGGGTACCCCCCCCGGGCGGTGCGTGCTCGGGGAGGGCGCGGGGGGGCCGCTCACCAAGTCCACTGCTGCGCGGGCACCAAGTGATGCGCGGCCGGGTACTGCGGCGCGCCGGCTGCCCCGCACTGCGCGCTGTAGGGCAGCGGCTGGAGCGCGGGAGCGCTGTAGGCGGGGAAGGGGATGGCGGTGGGGAAGGAGGCGGCCGCCAAGTCCTGCGCCTTGAGCGCGTGGCAGGGCTTCCCGTCGCGGACGAGCACGGGCACGGCCACGCGGCGCGGCGACGGCAGCGGCGCCGCCTCCAGCCCCTTCTCGGCCCGCGCGCGCTTCATCTTGTAGCGGTGGTTCTGGAACCAGATCTTCACCTGCGTGGGCGTGAGGCGGATGAGGCTGGCCAGGTGCTCGCGCTCGGGCGCCGAGAGGTAGCGCTGCTGCCGGAACCGCCGCTCCAGCTCGTAGGTCTGCGCCTTGGAGAAGAGCACCCTCCTCTTCCTCTTCTTGCCCGCCTCACCGCCGCCGCCGCCGCCCGCCGCCTCCTTCTCGTTGTCGGGGGACTCGTCGTCGGCCGACGGCTCGGGGGACTTGGCTGACGCCGAGTCCTGGCTGCCGCCGCCCGACGGCAGCCCGTGCACTGCGGGGAAGGCCGCAAAAAGAGCGCGCCGTGAGCGCCGCCCTGAGCGAGCCGCGCGTGTTCCTCCCGCCGCCCCCGCGGAACCCCCCACACGGGGCCGGGAGCGTCCGTGCCCCGGGAGAAACAGCGCCCGAAAACAACCGGCACTGGTTGTGCCGGTAACAATAGAAATAAAAATAACAGTGGTAATAGAAATAACAATAATAATAATATAATTCTGTTAATAATAGTAGTAATAATAATTATGAAATAAAAACAATAAAAGGATGAAAATAAAAATAATAAGGATAAAATTCGTAAAAAAAAAAAAAAATCCAAAACATAATGATAATGGCAGAAACAAGGGGGAAAAAAGAAAGAAAAAAAGGCAAGAAAAAAGACCCACGCCCTTCTAGCGCCCTCCTGCTCCACTTTCGGAGAGTACCCGCGGTCCCCCAGCCCCCGGCCGCCGAGCGGAGCCCCCACCGCATCCGCGCAGCCCCGTGCGCGGCCGCGGAGCGGTACTCACAGGAGTATTGGATGCCCTCGGCGCTGGCGAGCCAACGCGTGTAGGGATTATCGCTATTATCATAGAAAGGGCTCTTCAAAGGCAGCGTCTGAACAGTGTCCAAGGGGTTTTGTCCCAAAACGCCCGCTCTCTTTGGCGGCTCCGGCGCCTCGCTCTCCTCCTCGCCCCCCTCGGCCACAGAGCCGTCCTCATCGTTGGTGTCGGGCAGGTCCAAAATGTCCTTCACGGAAAAACCCGTCTTTGTGTTGGTCAGAGACATGTTCTGGCCAAAATTCGGCAGGAAAGTTGACGGAGCAGCTTGTCGGTCCCGCTGTGGCACACGCACGCACACACCAACACGCACAACACACGCACAACAACAACACGCACACACGGGGGGACGGGGTGACAAACTTGGAGCAGGAGAGAAAAAAATGTATATATCTATATGTAGGAAGTGAGTCGCGGGCTCCGTTCAGCGGAGGAAGCGGCGCCGCCGCAGCGGGTGTCTGCGTTTCTGCGGGCTCCTTCTGCCGCGGAGGAAATTCAGAGGGAGCAGGAGCAGCGAGTGGCTTCGCAAGTAGTTTGTAACTCCAGGGGGAAAA